TCGAACAACTTTGTTCGACAGCAAAGTCTGCCATTGTTGGACTTCGAGGAGAGGCATGAGCCTCGAAGTCAGCTGGAAGTTCGACTGGCAACGGGTGCCATCGTGAAGACCGAAAGCGCGTGATTTGCGCACGCTTCTCGTACAAACACTGGGTGCAGCACGGCACCACTTTGGCCACCGTCAACCACACCCCGTACGGAGAGGCAATCTGTCCAACCCATTTCCATTGCCGCGGAGTAGGCCGAAATGCCCTCTGAGCCATCTCAATATTACCCCTCGCAACCACGTACAAACCACGTACGTCCATGTACATATACTCCGACAGGTACGAGAGCACGGCACCACTTTGGCCACCGTCAACCACACCCCGTACGGAGAGGCAATCTGTCCAACCCATTTCCATTGCCGCGGAGTAGGCCGAAATGCCCTCTGAGCCATCTCAATATTACCCCTCGCAACCACGTACAAACCACGTACGTCCATGTACATATACTCCGACAGGTACGAGAGCACGGCACCACTTTGGCCACCGTCAACCACACCCCGTACGGAGAGGCAATCTGTCCAACCCATTTCCATTGCCGCGGAGTAGGCCGAAATGCCCTCTGAGCCATCTCAATATTACCCCTCGCAACCACGTACAAACCACGTACGTCCATGTACATATACTCCGACAGGTACGAGAGCACGGCACCACTTTGGCCACCGTCAACCACACCCCGTACGGAGAGGCAATCTGTCCAACCCATTTCCATTGCCGCGGAGTAGGCCGAAATGCCCTCTGAGCCATCTCAATATTACCCCTCGCAACCACGTACAAACCACGTACGTCCATGTACATATACTCCGACAGGTACGCTGGACGAAACGCAAGTGAATCAGGGATTCACAAGAAGAAACGACGGAGCCAGCACAAGACGCTGCGCAAGTCTCGGTTAGGGACCGAGACTCTTCATGGTGTGTCTGCCGGGCAGACACAAGTACCGACAGTGGCCGTCGAGACGTTGAACGTCTTGACGCGGGCCTGTACTGGGTATCAGTACGAGAAGAGGGAATTGGAGAACCCTCCGACTGATGCGTCGGAGTTGATCTCGCTTCCAGTCATGAGCTGGAAGCGCTTCGCTAAGGACCTGTACGATGGACGCATCGAACAGCTATGCATTCTTTCGAAGCACAAAAGAATGACAAGCGAAGCGCAAAAGTTGAGGCAACTCTTCTCTGGAAGCGCCACTGAGAGCAAAGATACTCTCAGTGCCAAGACCAAGAAGGAGCGCTTCGAGGAGCAGATTTGTGACTCACTGAAGGCGAGTCCCAATTACGAGATTCGGCGAGAGTACAGGGACGTGCTCCCGGACGAGATCCCTGCGGAGCTTCCGCAGGACAAGGGAATACAGCACGAGATTGATCTCGTGCCGGGAACGAAGTATTGCGTGACGCGGCAGTGGCCACTGCTGCGGGAACAAGTGAAGGCAATCGACGACTTCTTCGAAAGTCGTCGCAAGGCAGGACAAGTGCGAGAATCAAAGTCGCCGCACAGCGCACCAACGTTCTGTGTCAAGAAGCCACAGGGTGGTTGGTGCATCGTTCATGCGTACAACAAGTTGAAACGATGCGACGATGCCGGCACAGACGCCGATACCTCGAAAAGATGTCATCATCGATTCGATGCCCAAGAGCACCATCTACAGTGCTCTTGGTCTGAGGGACGGGTTCTATCAGATCCTGATGCGTGAGAGCGATATCCCTCTCACGGCGGTAAGCACCCCAAGCGGTATGCTTTGGGAGTGGCTAG